AGGCAGTTCCTACAAGGTTTTCCTAAAAATAGTATGGAATACTGTGACATCATATTTTTTTTCTGTTGTCAATTTATTTATATGTCTTAGTCAAGCTAGAGTGACACTTCAGCAGATAAAACTAAATTGTTTACAACCTAATAATAGGCTATAAGTTGTCTAAAATCAAATAATGGAAAAAAGTATTACAAATGAGCATGCATTTAACCCACGTAAATCTAAACATTCTAAAGATCAACTCTAGTACAATAGTTGATGAAATGCCTTCCGTTGAAAGAATTACTTACTCTTTTAAAATTACCATTTATTCTGAAGTGTATTTTGACGCTATCTTAGCCTTTTTGCGTTTTTCGAAGTGGGATAATTGTGAAATTATTGTTTATATATATGCGGCTTAGTTTACCCAGTAGAAGTGCGATTTCAAGTAGTCCAATCATCACTTTGTTTTTGTAGGTGTAGCTGACTTCTGTTATTCCTCTTGCTTAAAGCGATGTCGTGCCCACACCAGTTAGTAAGTTTTCTCGAGTTACTATGATATTTGTGATAGGTGAAAGTGTGCTTCATTTGGGTTGAAATCGGTTAATGTTTTTGCACTTGTTTGCCTTTTTGACTATTGCCTTCCATAACAAATCTAACCTTCCTTGTTGCTAATTTGAGATTAGCTCCAACATCTTCATATTCATATTTTAACTTTTGCTAGCACTTGACTGATTTGCTGCGGATATGCACTGTTTGCTCCCAAAAGCACTGGATTTGTAAACGTGGCTCTCCCAAGTACGCGAATGCGACCAGTGCGTGGAGCTTCTGTTTAGGGTGTTTATAAGCCAGTTTAAGCTATTAACATTGACTATATTAACTTCTCCTTCTATTTCTAAGTTGTTGATCCTGGATTTTTTTATCTATAGGGAATTGTGGGTTTTCTTTTATCTACTTCCTTGCCCAAATGCGATTTATTTGATGTAACAATCGTTGTAAGGTTCCAAACCTTGAAGTGGCTTCTATGCTAGTCGACATTGCTTAAGAACTAGAATACCATTTCTTTTGCTTTTTTTGGGTGTTGTTGGCTTTGCGTGATTGGACTATGCTCAAAAACAGTTACTTTGGGGAATGTCTTGGTAGTTTGGCTCATATATATATATGCTTCCAGCTTGTGGTATGAGAGCGATGTGCTTTCATCTGTGTAGGGAGCTGCGGACCTAAAGCTAGAGCCTATTGACGATCCTTCCTCTGAGTCGAATCCTGAGCTTTTTTTAACACAGCATGTTGACTTTGATTGGAGAATAGATTTCGACTCCAAAACTGTTAACGGCTGTGTTAAACTCCACTTGATGCCAATGGATTTTTATGCACAATGTCGGGACACTTTGGTACGCCGTTCTCGCTTTTGTTCTTCTTTTCATCACAATAATTTTTATTCTTCATAAAACTTGTTTTCTAACGTCCAGAATGAAATATTATTTCATAGCTAGTTTCACTAAAAGTAGCTAGAATCTAGCTTTTCGTTTACTGCATCTGTTATTTGAAACACTTTGGTTTACCATATGGGAAATGGCCTGGGTTTTCAATTTCGTTTGCAGAAATTGGACATCAAAGACATTAATGTTTCTCGCGTGTATATTAATGATGAACCCGTGGAATTCACCATAGATGCGGGATCCTACCCAAGCTTGGGAAATGCACTGTCAATTAAAGTCGGTCAACAAAATTCCCGGTAAAACATTCGGATTTGTTGTTTTATTAGCTGTTTCCCTTGTTGTGTCTTGAAATGTCCCATAGTGTGGTGCACAATGTCAATGCCACGTTTAATGTATATTTCTCTCTGTAGTTATTTCCTTCTACATGTGATTTCTCTAGTTTCGTCGTGACCATAGAATATTGCACTATGCCGCAGTCTTCTGCACTTCATTGGCTGGATGCTCAGATGACCTCGGACAAAAAGCACCCCTTTCTATTTACCCAATGCCAGGCAATCCATGCGCGCAGCCTCTTTCCGTGCCAAGATACGCCTCGTGTGAAATTCACCTTTAGTGCTAGTGTGAGCATAATTTTCTCAACATTTTTCCAATTCCGATTTTGTTCTAGGACATTTTAAAAATTCACGCTGCACCTTTTTCCCTTACGGACAGCCCATCCTATGCTGCTGCATTGGTAACCAGGGCGTTTCATGACGGTTGGTGCTTATATTCTCGATTCGAACGTAGTGGTCTTAAATATATCGGTAAATGCACTGTTAATGTCAGCAACGACTGCTGAGGACTACAGAAACTCCTGCGACATTTCAACTCATATCTTCTAAAAATGCGATTGAGGTTGATTTTTCGCGCGCACTCGAAGATTAATCGATTATGCAATTTGTATGTGCTGTTAACTTGTGAACTTGCCTCGTCCATCCCATCCCATTTGGTGTAGATCGCACACTATTCACCCATTCATTATTAGTTGATCAAGACAATCGAAGCAACTTCTTATCCATCATGCGGCCCATCTCTAGATTTGTCTCCTTTGACGGCTTGGACTCAGTTTTGACGTATGCACACTGCCACATGCCCATTTTATGATACAGCCTTATTTTCGTAAGAGTACTAATTTGCACATTCATCTAGGCCTTTTTGCTGTCAAAATCCTAGCACATTCACAGTATAAGACTATGAACCTTGATCGGTTTTTAGATCGCCACTTGTTCGTGTTTGCCTGTTCTAATATTTCATGCCATGGAAAAATTCAATTGTTTATATTCATGAATCATAGGTGCTTGCCCCCCGGGAAGTGACGGTGCTGATGGGAGCGCAGCGTTCGACACCCTCACGCCACTGCGATGAGCCAGAAAAGCCGTCTATCCACTACTTCTCCCAGGACATCCCTATTCCCAGCTACCTTGTAGCTCTAGCTTGTGGAGAGCTGGAGCATGCGTAAGCTTATCCTCATTCATGTACCCTATTTCGTTTTTTCTAGCTTCTGGAATGAATGCTGAGATCACATTTTAGGTTGCTGAATCCGAAACATTGACCACGAATTTCACCCAATTTAGGGCACGGGCTGTTGTGTTTAGCACAGGGCTATGTTGACACTGCTTTTTCCGGGT